ACCAAAGATGTTTTACAAGCTTTGAAAGGTTAGACAAATTCAAAGTATTTTTAACATTCTCAGGTCCAAGGATGACTTTTTTAAAATGACATTTTAAAGACCAAAAAAAAGCCTATTCGCTCACCACCCAATTAACGCTGGCAGTATTTTTCCAAAGGTTTGCCTTTAGGAAACTGTAATTGTGCAGAGTGGCACACAATGAGAAGTGACTCAGCCCAAACTATGCCAGCCCCAGAAAGGAGCAGCTTCTAGTGCTCATTTCCAGGAAAAAATATAACTCTGCACCAACATGTAGTGTAAACACACGTGTGCGTGTTGAAGGGGTTTGCTCTGTGCTCTTCCATGCCTTGCTTTGCGACTTTGTCGCTTTGTTAAAGCAACAACAACTCCAGATATTACTACAAACCAGAGAAACTAGCAAAATAACAAGATATTTAAAATTGATCAGTAAAATTACATCAAAAGGAAAACATACAATGATTGGCTTCTCATTGGAATGGATGCAGATGGCACTGAGGAATTTCCTCTCAAAGGCACAAGGCTGGGCCTGGTCTCAGGCTGCTTTAGCTAAACCCTCCCAACTTTCCACAACCACCTGGCTCCAGCATCTGCTGGCGTGTTCTACAAGGCCACGTTCTCTATGTCCACGTGAAAGGTGGATCCTAGGACGTAGCTCCAAAGCCCCCATAGAATAAATAGAAAGTTTAAATGTAACTCCAGCTTCCCCACTCAAGACCCTATCCACCAGAATAGCAACCTCACTTGTATCTGAACCCTCAGAAGATCCCGTTTGCTAAGTGGGCTCTATTTCCTAGGCATGAATGAATGAGTGACAGAAAACACCTATATCCCATCAATAATATATAATATATATTTAAATATATAATATATATTTAAACATCTGTACATATAATATATATTATATTATATATAATATAATATATATTTAAACATCTGTACATACTTCTTCAACTTACAAACATGAGAACACGCCTCGCCTGACTCCACCAATTTATTGTTAACAATTACACTTTTAAGGCATCACTTGGGTGAGATGAAGGAGAAAAGCCTTTTCAGAGTCACCAGCTTCGTGTGTTCACCATCTGCTGTCAGGACATTGCTCCAAAGTCACCTATTTACTGAGATCCTGCCAAATCCATCTCCAGAATGGGGTTCCCAGGTTTCTAGGGTTTCCTGGCCACTGCCTATTCATGGGACCAGTTTCAGCTCTGCATTTAGCCTGGGAATGCAGAGAGCAGTACTTGGAAGCCCAGATGTGGAGGAATTCCTGGGATCTTAGCAAGAATGGGTCTGGGGGAACCTCGAGCCTGGTGGTTAAACAACTTCATGGGAACAAGACAGAGGGGACAGTTGCAGCAGCACTGGTTGGAATGGAACAGAAGGGGAAGGTGACATTCCAGTGACGGGGTGACCCCATCAGGCCAGTCACTCAGCTTCTCTAAGTCTCAGTCATTTTCTCTATGAAATGGGGGTACTGCCTAGCTAGCAGGGCTCCTGAGGGGGTTAGAGTGACTAAGACTAGGCCTCACACTAAAAGAGACTGCCCCCTTCTAGAAGATCCCCATTGTCAGGTGGCTGGCACATTCAGTCACCTGAAATACTCAGCGGATCAGCCTGGATGTCCTGGAGACTACAAAGACTTCTTCCACTAAAGAGAAAAAAAACACTATTGATGGAAAGGCACACACGGGCAGTGAACACCAGATTAAACAATAAACCAGTGATTTAGCATCCTGCCCACGCAGTGACAAAGGTAGAAACAGACAGAAGGCTGGAAACTGAAGAGGAAGCAGTTAATGAGGCGTAGAAACACTAACCTGCTATTAGTGATCAGGGCCACACCTCCCTGTTCAAACACTTTTTGGTAACATAAATAGTGCAGGGTGTTTAAAAGCAATCCATCATGCACCTTCTCCATTCTGCCATGTCTTCTGGTTCAAATATTAACCAAGGACCTTCCTGAGATTTGTCTTTCTCATTCTTTGCTAATGCCCAATGTCTGTGTGTCAGCTGTCTTGAGATTGAAGACAATGAAGAAATGTTGGAGAATCTGTACCTGCTTGCACAGGCCTGACATGATGCAGGCAACTTCTGCCAAAGATTTCTACCAAGTTCAAAGCATAATACCAGTGACAAGGAGACAGGGACAAGGATACCAGAGACAGGGAGACAGGGCATGACAAACATACCCATAAGGACAGAGGTGGCAAAGATTCAGGAAGACAAAGAAAGCTAACTCCAGGGCCTCTTTCAGGAACATTCTAGAAGCTTTTTCTGTGCAGCACATATTTCAGCTGATCGATTTTGTCACCAACTAACCATGTGAGGGTAAACAAGCCTGTAGCCGCTCTGGACCCACTTCCCACGAAGGCAAGGGGTGGGGGCAAGCTAGACCCTGGCACCATTTCCAAACGACAAACCTAGAAAGCTAAGCCCCTTTCACACACCACACACATTTCTAACTCTTTTATATTAAGCACATCTATTACAGCAACTATGTTGGTCATTGTGGTTCAAGCAATAGAATGTTCTTTACTGACAGGTTACCTAAGTCTGACACCAAACCCCAACCCTCTCATGAGGCTAAAAATAATCCCCCCAGCCACCTCCCGAAGAGTCTCACAAAATCGCTATTTTTTATTTGTTCTTGGGGTGGACTGGGTTTGGTTTGGATTGGTGATTGCCTTGTCACCTCGGTGGCATCTGGATCTGGACAAGGTCACAATCACACAGAGAAGTTTAATACTTTCTGGTTAGTTTCCGTGATCAGTCCTCAGCTCTCTCAAAACTGCGCCCATGTGCTGACTGCTCAGGACCAAGGTAACACAGGCCCCCCTGGAATCTCAGCCCCCATCCATCCATCCATTCTTCAAAGCCACCTCTCCATTCTCTCCAAAGCTTCATGAGCTCAGAAGCCCCACCCTAGAGGGTCCTGTATCAGCCCCCCCCCACCCCCGCTGGAGACCCTGCTCACACTTCTGCTAAGTGCAGCTCTGCACGCTGCTTCCTCCTTCTGGGGCCACAGGGCCCTGTGCCTTTTCCTTGACAGAACAAGTGAACCACTGAGCTCCAGGAGGACAGAGGGTTTCTGTTTTAATCACATCAGAGTGCTACACAACATGCTCGATTAAAACATTCAGGGAAAAAGAACAGTTTTATTTCAGCTAACACCTTTTAAATATGACTTGAACATAACTCTGAGCCCCTAAGAACACCAGCATATCCTATGGAAAATTTAATCATGGAACAGCAGCACCTGCCAAAGAGCATGGCCAGTCTGTGTAACAGGCAACTGATACAATCAACTTACAATAGACAAGATCTATGGAAATGGCGGCATTTTTAATCATAAAAAACAACAAATTGAGAGGAGAGATGGCGCGCATTTTCCCTCATGAAGACACAGGCTCCAGTGCTGAAAAGCAGCTCCCAGCAAGTCCTCCTCTGGCACCTGCTCCGGCGCTCTTGTTTGCTTCTCCACATCAGGACCTCCATCCAGGCCAGGGACCCAGTGAATAGGTGAAAGGCCTATGGGAATGCATAACCCATCTCCACGTCTAACGCATGAATGGACATAGACCATTTTCACCATCACACCAAAGGTGCTGGAAGGTTCGCTCGCGTCCCCCCTTAGCCAGAGGAGAAATGTCCACATTCCCCTCACGACCTGCTTCTCACTAATCAGCCTGCTCCATAGATGGCATCGAGCAATTATTCAACCCACTCAACTATTCAGCTGTTATATCACCTGCATTTTTCAGTTAGTTGATAATTAGTCGATCATTCAGTGACCACCTAAAGCCTAATCCTTTCAACTCTCTATTCCTGGAAGGCTGGGCCTTATCCAATCCCATGGCCATCCAAACCTCTGCCTTAGTGACAACCACACACAAAGCTTGGCACGATCTGACTACTTGATAAATGCTAATGATGTGATTCAGGTTATTAGTATATTTCAATAATGAAATATTAGCACTGAGCCCTTCCTTCCAACTCCATAATGGAGTTCTCTTAAATGCCGAGATTAGTGGTTCTCAAATTTAACATGCACCAGAATCACCTGGAAGGTTTCCTGAAACACAGATTGCTGCTGAGCTGCAACAACTAAAGCTGCCTGTTGGAAGGGTCAGGGTCGGTGGTGGGGAGCATGGTGCTGAAAACATCCATTGCTAAAGAGAAAATCTCAGGAGTGTGGGAGCTGCTGGTTTAGAAGGACATGTTGAAAAACACCAACTAAGGGTCTGAGGCCTCAGTGGAGGAGCACGCTGGTCCAAACCTCCTGGGCTTTCCACGGCCCCTCACACACCCCGACTATGTCCTTCCTTCCCAGAACTCCACCAGCAATTCCAAAGTCGGCTTGAACTCCAGGAGGCTCCCCCGCCTCCATGCCGGCTGCACACACACCACTGAACCAGCATCCCTGAAATCAGCTCCAGGAGGCCCAGAGCTTACTCGGTGCCTGCCTAGAACACAGGAAACCCTCAATAAGTAGTGACTGATGGAGTGAAAACTCGAAAGCAGCAGTCAAAGGCATCCTTGGAGAACCAACCAAACTGGAGGGTCTTGAAGACCAACTCAGAGGTCTTCCTCTCAGAACCACAGCCCTGCTCATACCATGAAGCATCAGCTTACACCTCCCCTGGCACAGGCCCTGAGGAGTGCTACCTGCTCTCCCCGAGATGGGAAGCCAGGCTGCAGTCTGGACGCATGTCCATGGAAGCGTTTCTGGCCAGTCACCCAAACAACTCAACAGAAGAGACATGTCTCCAGCAAATTATTTCTTATTCTCATTCTAAAAAAAGGTTCACTTTCATAAATAACTTTATGTGATTTCTCTTAAAAAGGATATCCAAATTGTTTCATTTTCAGGTCTCTCTGGACCTGACCCTGCTTCATACGCCCTGTCCACTCTGCTCCTTGGCCATTTGACTGTTCTCAGAATCATCGCCCATCCTGCCCCTTCATGAAAACACCTTAACCTTGAAGTCAAGTACACGTTTGCAAACACCTTCTAGGCAGGATTTCAAAAGCTCCTAGAGAATGGTTCAAGATGTCTTGTTGATTTCTCTGTGATGATTTCATTTTCTATATTTAAAAAAAAAAAAATTTAAGATTTAAAAAAAATAATCTGTCAAGCATAATCCAAGCAGAATATCCTACCTGATTCTTTCAACACAGGTTTTAAAAAAACTCTCTCTGCAACAACAACAAAAACTCTGCCTCCAACACGTTAGGGCAATTTAAATATGAGCCTCTTCTAATTCTGTGTTTAGTTATCAACAATGTCAGAAAGGTTTGAAAAAAGCAAGTAGTCTCCATGTCAGGAAAATATTATTTAAAATTCTAAGGGCTAGTTTTACTCTCCTCCTATACAGTATAATAATTTTAATTAAGTCAATTTTGTGGCCTATGTGCACTTACAGAAATTGTCAGTTGAGCTGTATGGATTATTTACTCAAAGGTTAAATGAGGAATTTTAGGATTCCTTCCCAAACAAGCACTTTGTGGTTCACTACACGTCTAGAGAAAGATTTAAAGAAAAATAGATATATCTTTAAAAGCCAAGGTCAGCAATGTTCATCTACGATTACAGATTTAGACCCATGCACAGGCCTTTGTGAGGTGACAACAGTGGTCTCCATCCACCTAGAAGCAATGGAAAGAAATCGAGCAGAAATGTTCAAACACATGAGCCACAGAAAAAATGAGCTGTCACTTCAATAGATCCTCCATGAGCAATACACAGAGTTGTACTAACTTGCATAGTAAACATTTGATTCCCCCTGGCACAGATCAGGCCCTGAAAAAATAGGTAAGGAAAATACATAATCAATTTTACATTTTAAAAATAGCTATTCATCTTCTTGTCCCCGATTGGTCCAGGTTTAACCACACAAGTAGAACAAACACCGTGTTCATTTTATTCTTGATGACGGCTTGGAACACCCCCCGCCCCCAGGGCGGGGGTCACTCTAGGAATACAAATTTCCATTAAATACACCGAATTGAACTTTTCCATTCTCAAGGTAGCCTGAAACCGTGAAAAACCAGGTTCCTGAACTTAGAAAAATCCCCATTCAATCCCCAGGCCCACCAGCTACAGTCACCAAATTGCTGAATACTTCCCTGCCTCCGTTTCTCTTCTCCACAAAGGGAGCAATTTCTATTTTGCATGTTTTATGCAACAAGATAAAGCACTCTAGGTGCTGCATGGCAGAGAGTGGGTTCTCAATCACCTTATTTTAAGGATGGCTTTGATCATCCAGCCTTGCCACTGTGGATGACACACCAGGTAATGAGCGTGAGTCCTCCAAGATTTATATTCTACCTGCATTTAAATGCTTATCACCAGAGATAAAATAGGTTCGACAGGGGCAGAACACTGAGCCACTGTTCCAAACCTTTAGCCACGTCTGAACATCCACCTGGGAGGAAAGCGCCCACCTTCAGGGCGACACCTGTGCTGCCAAACAGCACACCCACCTGCCTCGCTAAAGGTTTCCCTTCAGCAGGGGACACAGAATCTGTGTTGCATTGAAAGGAACTCGAGCGAAATGAATGCAAATAGGTCTGTTCCTCACCCAGGGTGTCGATGTTCTCAAATCCCCAGGTTCTCCGGGGATTCTCTTTGTAAACTCTTACCTGTGTGCTGCAGGTGAGTCTTCCAGAAGAGGCTCCGGGCAGCACGCGGACGCGCTGAAGCGCTCGGACAAGGTTCGAAAGTTCGTTCACACGTTCTCCTCCACTAATGGAAACCCAGCCATTTCACAAGCCCTCCAGGCTCCATTGGCTTAACAAACAAATAGCGTGCTGGCTCAACTGCCCTCAAGTTCACACCGGTCACCAGTTTTGCATGTTTGTTTTAAGGTGGCAGACCCTCTGCAACCTACAGAATTACCCTAACGCTCTCTGCGCGCCCCGAGCGGAGCAAACCACAGTGGACTCTGCGGGTCCCCGCGAAGGAGCGCCCCCAAGCCCCCCCGAAGTGAGGGCGGACCTCAGCAGACCGAGTCCTGGCGGGGGCGGTGACGCTGCTTTGGAAAAGCCTGCGGGGTGGTCGCCCCCCTCCCGGATCCCCCCCCCCCCGCCCAAGGCTCCTCCACACCCCACTCCGGGGTTTCTGGGATTCCGGCCTCGCGTCCTCACTCAGCGCACCTCTCCGACCCCCTGAACAGGCTGTTCGGGGCTCGGAACCCCAGGGCGATCCCTTCCTGGAGCCTGAGGGTCCCCCGCGCCCCCTTGGGTGGTGAACTCAGCAGATGCCTAGCCCCGGGGACCGCAGGCGCTGGGGATCCCCGAGCCCGTCCGTGCGCGCAGCCAGGTGTGCCCAGATCGCCCTCACCTGTCCGAGGAGCCGTCCCGGGGCTGCCGAGGGGGCCCCGCGCGCCCCTCACCTGCGCAGACCTGCCGGGGCGGCCGCCGCTCGCGCGCGCTGGGAGCAGCCGGGACGCGGCGGCGGGCGGGGACCTCCCGGCGGCCCCAACTTCCTCGGCCGCGCCAGCCCCGCCTTCCCGGAGGAGGCGCCCGGTCACCTGAGCGCGCGGCCGCGGGGGCCCGGAGGCGCGGACTGGGGGGGGGCCCGCACTGGCGGCCCCCGGGGGAGACTCGGGGGTCACTCGAGGCTCGCAGGACAAGGAAGATGTGTCCCCAAAGTCTGCAGTGACAAGGAGAGCGAACCCGCGCGTTTGGTTCGAAGTAAGGCAGGAGGAGCAGCGTGACTTGCAAACTTCACGTGGCTCGGCTGAGACTCCCAGGCGTGCGCCCTGGTCCTCTCCTCCCTCGCCCAGGATCAGGGCAAGAGAGCAGCCAGCTAGGACCCCCCTGGCCCTGCGGGTCATGCCCTAGCCTGGCACCCTGAAAGCTGTGCCACACGTGCCCATGGGCGTGGAAGTCGGCCGACCTGATGCGCACAGCTCCTTTTGTCCCGGCTGGAGTCCCTCCTCTATAAAATTCAAACTGACGGATGTGCCCAGCCAGCTGCCAGGGAGCTCAGACCTTTCAAGAGACCGAGAGACCAGGCTGGCACCGAAGTGTTGAGTCAATGTTTGCCTTGTGTTCTTTTCTCTTGCAGGCTTTTCCTGCTTTCTCCCCCATTGCTTCCACCTATAATCTGGCGCTTTATTTTCTCTTTATCTCTACCTGGCCAGTGTCTTTTCCCATCTCATCATGAGCCAAGGCTGCTGGCCACCGAGTCTGTGCCCACAGGTGTGGGTGACTTGGGGGTGGATATACAGGATATGATCCCTCTCTTCTGGAAGGGCAGGAACTCACACGCACACCCACCACCCCCACACAACAGTAGTTTTGAAATGAGATGCAAATTCAAGAGCATTACGGAAACAGGCTAAATTGGGTGTGGGGCAGACCTGCATTCTGTCGGTGGTTCTGGATGGGGGTGAGCTGAAGCTGGAGAGCAGTTCAAATGGTGTAATTGGTGGTTGAGCGCCTTGCTCTTCTGTCCCAGAGACCTCGAGTCAAACCCGGGCTGGTGGGCTAATTGCACAAGATTTCCAGGTCACTTCACGTCTATAAATGTCAACGTTCCCTTTAGTCAATCAGGATTGAAACAGTAGCTATTGCATAGATGCTGAGAGACCACTGGATGATTTTCACAGTGTCCTGTTCATGGCAGGTGCTTACTAAAGGCTGATTAATGACAATAATAATAAGGTAGAAAAACGATGGGACAGGGAGATAAAAAATCAGAAGAAAACATGGCAATTTGGGAGAAAATGAGAGAAAGTAGCCACATCACATCATCATGAACAATGTGCCTCAATCAGTGATGAACACGACTAGTTACCGGCTTCTGTGCTTGGCGCAAAATGTGATCACGTTTAATTTTCAGAAAACTGTGAGGAAAGTCATAATGTCTGTAGTCCAAGGCTCAGAATCATGAAGTAACCAGCCTGAAGGTCTGGATGAAGTCAGTTCGCAGAGGCAGAGCTACCTAAGGCTGATGGCAAGTCTAGGTTCTTCCCTGCAGGCTCCCGCCCTGCCTTAGAGAGCAGAGGCAACACAGGAAAGGCCATAAAAGTGAGAAAGAGCACAAGATGGGAGAAGCCGAATTGAAAACCAACGCATAATACAGCTGAATTAAAATAGTAAGTGAACCACAGAAAAAGCTTTTTGCTTCTGCCTCCTGCCACAATGGAGTTCCTGTTCTGTGGTTCCTGCAGCCAGACCACAAGTTGAAAATGACTCACAACATCTTTCCATCATTAAACGCTGCAGAAAGTGAGACACCTCAAGGCTGGACATCTAAGGTCAGAACTTCGACTCACCACAATGCACTCTTCTGTCCAGTTTCCTTGAAGGCTTTTGGTTTTTTGTTTTTTAATTGTTCAAACGTGTTAGGTGCTTCTTTCTAGTATGTTCCATCCAGGGGATAATAGCATCACTTTAGCCTTTTGCCTCCACGAGTTGAGAACGGCACAGTGGTGGACTCCTCTGTGTGGCAAATAGTCTCTCTCAGCACTGTCGTTTCTCTGAATTTCTTCATTTAAACCGGTTTTGAGGGCCTCCCTGGTGGCACAAGAGGTTAAGACACAACCTATGAGGCTGTCGGCAGCCACTGCAGCACAAGTTCGATCCCCAGGCAGGGAGCTACCCACATGGTGCAGCAGACCTCTCCTGACTCGCCCACTGCTCCCCTCAGCAGTATTTCAGTCGATCTGCTTGTTCTGTTCCCCACTCTGTCTCTGGTGGGTTCTCTCTCTCTCACACACCCCCCCCACCATACCTCAGGCCTGTGCCAGTGCTTATATGCATAAATAAATAAATCTTCTAAAAATAAATAAATAAACCGGTTTTGAAGTACATCTTCTACCATAGGCATCACCAATGATGTCAAGATCACAAGTTTTTGAAAAAATAAAATTGCTTATATTTATTTAGACTGTCTGCCCTAGCTTGCCTCCTAACTCCCCAATAATATATTTTCCCTGAACAGCTCTGCTGCCCACGGAGAGTTCTCACGCTTCTGTCACAGTCCTACCAGACACGGCTGCTTTTACATCTTAGACAACCGGTGCATGGGCACATACCATGTAATTTCACCTGTTCTTTTGTATTTATTACTTTTTCAATTTCTAATTTCTCTTCACTAATGGATCTTACCAGTAGTAATGATTATGGGGTGATGTATCTGAATCTCTGAATATTTCTAAATTTTTATAAAGATTTATTTATGTATTTATTTATTTATACAAGCACTGGGTACAGTCAGAAGCGTGGGAGGGTGAGAGAATTCACCAGAGCCAGAGCAGGGGGCAGAATAGGCAGAATGATGAAGTACACTGCTGAGGGGAGCAGCGGGCAGCAGGAGAGGTCTGCTATGCCATGTGGGACCCTCGCCGTTGGCCAGGGATTGAACCGGCGCTGCAGAGGCTGCGGGCAGCTTCGCAGTCCAGCGCCCAACCACTGCACCACCAGGGGAGGCCCCAATATTTCTAAATGTTTAATTTGGGATGGCAGATGTGTCTCCGGTGCCCCATGTGCTCCTTTCTGTCTGGTGGATGTTGCCGTTATGCATCCAGGTACTCTGCAGTGGAAGTGACTTCATGATGTCGCTGGACCTGTTAGAATGAGCAAGTACAATTTAACAGGACAAGTTACCGTCACTGTCATCACCCAGAATCAGCGCCCATGGAGTTAAAGCTGTCTGCAGAGAAAGACCCAGTCTGAAAATGCAGAGAAGCCAGGGTGCCTGCACTTCTTGGCTAGCAGGGCCATGGCACAATCTCCCCATACCTCCCCCCACCACCCACCCAGGAGCCAGCCTGGCAATCAGCCCAGGGTGGCTCTGCTGGAGGATCTAACCTCATCTTGCACACGCAAGGCCCTTGTCTGCCCAACAGGTTTCCGAGATCTGCTGTAATGATCTACAGTCTTGGCACCGAAGGTCCCTCGTATTTTCCTTCATTGGTGCTTCTTGTCATTTCTGCAGAACAATAGCGAAAGTGGAAAAACAACTGCAACAGAAACACAGACAGAGACCAATTAGGAGGTGATACCAGTGTAATGTTTAAGGCAATATTTGAGTCCACAGACCCATTATCCAGGGGCGGATGTGTCCTGGGTGCTATAAGGCAGCATCTGCATTGTTACGGGCACTGAGAAAACTGGCAGTCCTTTCATTCTTAGTGTTTATTCTTTGTCATTATATTTACTCAGGGTTTTTTCCTGTTGTAAAATTGTCCTGAGAGACGATAGAAAGCATGCCCGCTTCGTATAGTGACAGGTGTGGACAGACCAAATTTATTGACACACACACCAGCTCTTCCTTTGAACCAGCTCTGCTTCCTGCAGGTGGGGGCGACGGTTCCAGCTCTTGGTCATAGGAGGGGCCCAGCAGAAAGGGGCTCTCACTTTTTACCCAATCAGAAAGGAGGCTCATTATAAAATCTATCTTTGGGGCCTTCCTGGTGGTGCAAGGGGTTAAGACGCAACCTATGAAGCTATCCTCAGCCACTGCAGCACGAGTTCAATCCCCGGCCAGGGAGCTACCCACATGGCGCAGCAGACCTCTCCTGACTTGAACCCTGCTCCCCTCAGCAGTGTATTTCAGTAGATCTGCCTGTTCTGTTCCCCACTCTGTCTCTGGGGAATCCTCTCACACACACCCCCACACCTCTGGCCTGTACCCCAGTTCTTATATTCATCAATAAATAAATCTTTAAAAAAAAAACCTATCTTTGGAAACCAACTCCACCTGTGATTGTCATATTAACAATCCTATATTGTATCTTATTTCAAACTCCCACACCATCTATGTAACACAGGGAACAGACAAATAAGCTGCTGTGAGGATGTTTGTGGTCACAATGAAATTCTGCAATTGTTGCTTTTAAAAACTTATTGGATGTGGAGGGTAAATATTAGGAATCTTAGTCTCTGTTCATCAGATGGGACAACTGGTCAAATTTACTTTTGCAGGTGAAAGTTAGCCTCATTCAAGCCTGTTTTTTCATCCAACCTCCAGAGGTTTGTGGGGGGCGGGGTGAGAGGTTTCACCAGAGACAGAGTGGGGACCAGAATAGGCAGATTGACCAAAGTATACTGCTGAGGGGAGCAGCAGGCACGAGAGGAGAGGTCTCTGGATAGCTTCATAGTGCTGAGACTTAACCCATTGTGCCACCAGGGAGGCCCCCTTCAGCACCAGTATTTTCATGTCTGGGGATCTGAATTCCATCCACTTAGCTAATTGTTTAAACCTTCCCCAGGCTGACACTGCCCTGGAGAGCTTGCACACTCTACTACTGCGTGGGCCATATGAGGCAGGTGTGTAGGCTGGGCTGGGTGCTGTGGGATGGCAGAGGCCTTCCTGCAGGGTGTTTCAGGCTCCAGCCAAAGTTGTTTAACTTGTACTTGGAATGCTGGCCAGGGTCATTGTTTTTAAATTCCAGTGTCTATTTCAAGATCATCCAAGGCAGAAGCCATTGTTCCCCTCAGGAGAACAAATCAAGGCTTTCCAACAGCAATTGGTTTGTTAGCATCAGTGACTCTGGGTGGGCACCCCCAGGTGCTGGAAAAGGAGCCCCTCTCCAGGGGAAATCCAGCTCAACCTCCCCGGGACCAGCACACACTCAGCTGGCAAGGAAAGATCAGTTCCAGTTCGGGGAAGGAAACCAATTCAACTTCATTGATCAGAAAATTTCAATCTAGACACATAAGGAGAAATAATAAAGACCCTTTTGGCTGAAGACTTTAACAAATTTTTAACTCAATGTCTGTCTCCAGTCTAACTTAGTGACTGCCTGTCTGGGACATGTAATTTGACTAAGTTTTAATTCATCCAACCTCCAATTACTGACTGTAATGATGACCTTCAAGAATGTTCAGAATCTATAATTAATGGATTGAAAAGTAATCAGGAAATACATGGGGCCTTATTAAGACCATAACAATATCTTCAAGCTGGCTTGGTATACAATTACCTGATGTACTGATTTTTTTTTAGATACCTCTTTTTAATGACTATTGTTGCCACTTCCTGAGAAAATCTGGGTCCCAGATAGAAAAAATACAGAAATAAACTGACCTGAAAAGTAGATGAATTTCTTGTCAGCACACAACTTCTAATTTTTTTTTTTCCTTATTGAAACACACCTAACTATACTGAAAATTATACCTTCTGAGAGATTATTCTTCAAAAAAATATAACTTCATTTTTGGGGAGGAAGAATGATTTTCTTATAATATTTTATTTGCCATGTTGCCTTATATCATTATATAAGTTCCAGGTATGCATCATTATAAATCAACATGTGTGTGGACTGCTAAGTTCACCACTTGAACTTCCTATGAAGCCAATTTATTGAGAAGGACAAAGTCCTATTCTTTAGAGACAAAATATATTTTAGAACATTGAAAAGGAAGAGAGCGTCTCAGACTATTCTTTCTATGTCTTACTCTTGTAGTTTTGAGTTTTTACGAAGATTTTTGTGACCGGTCTCCTTACTCCTGGTGGGTTCCATGAAACTGAGCCCTGCTTAGTGGCTCTGTAAAATGTCGTTCTACTCGATACCTGTCCTTTGAAAATCTCAGCCTGTGTTTCAGATGGAGTCTGTTTCACTCTACACATTCACTGGCAAACTTCCCAGGATTTCATGAAAACTAAGATGCAAACCCAAGGTCATACTCACCCAGGAGAGGAAACCCTTCTGTCTGTCACGTTTTCTGTCTGCAACTCATTTCCAAAAGACCAACTCAACTTCCCCAGCAGTGAAGAGGAACCACTTCTCCAGAGAACCAAGCAAATCCCTACATCACACTACTTCACCTGAGCAAAGTGTATTTTCAAAGATAACATGAATTTCAGTTCTATTTTCAGCTTCAAGGATGTTTCCCTCAGAGCAGAGCCAGAAGTAGAGTCAGGATGGGGCTGAGAGGACCAGCATTTAAAATGCCTGTGCAGACACTGTCCTATGTGTGGCCCCAAGGGCACTTTAGCAAGGAGTGCTTGAGGAAGCTGGTGCTCTCCACAAACTGGAATCTTCCAAGGTGTCTTAATGATGAAATGTGGCAGCAGAATAAAGGACAGAATTAGCAATGCCACAGAAAGTGTGACTGGAAGTCTAAAGGGTGGAAATGACACATGAAAAATAAGTGATCAATGAACAGTGTGGGAAGAGAGCTGGAATTTAAATTGGTGAGGGAAAGCTATTATGAGCCATCAGGATAAGAAAATTAGAAAATGTGAAGATAAGTGGGTCAAATCAAATGGTCAGTAAGTCAAATGATCCAACATCATCAAACTGGATATTAATTACGTGCAGCCATTGTGTAAGTCAGACAAAAAAAGGGATTTTTCTTTTTTGTGATCACACCTCTCTCAAGATGTGGCTGCCACCACAGCTTTCTCAAATACAGCCACACTCTGCTTAACAACGACACTAGTAGATTACCATTGTGCCTTATCTATTGTTCTCTGGGAGTTAGAAAGCCCATTCGTGCATCCCTGTCAATTCAACCCAGGTAGATGCATAGACTCGTTACTAAGTAAAGAATCATTTTAAAGAGTTATTTGGAAAAATTAATGTTTTGTGCTAATGAACTCAAGACAAAAGTCATTATTATCTGTGAAAAACTATCTTTGATTCTCTCAATGTCTTCATACTTCCTGATTTTGGTTTCCTATAAACTCCCTTCATGTCCCATCTCTCTTACCACCTTCCTGATTCACAATGAGTGTCTAGTCCAATTCTCAGTCCACACAAAACAGACTCCCCCCGAAGGATCCACTCCTTCCTCAACCAGAAGTGATCCCTTCTCCCAAGAACCTGCATAGCAACATCCTTACCTAACTTCAAATGCTTTTATAAAGAACAATTGATTTGTCTCTATACAAGAGTTATTTTAGGTGCCTATATTATCTTTCAGATATGTTTGTTTGACAAATATTTCTAGAACATCTAGTCTGTGCAACGACAATCTATAGAACATATCTTTTTGCTTTCAGATTGATACTGTTGTAGTAGTTATCTATTGATGTCTAACAAATTACCTAAAAACTCAGTGGCTTAAGGCCCAAAAGACTTGCTATCTCAGCTTTTCTGTGGAACAAGCATCCTGGTACGATTTGGATGGGTTGCAGGCTCAGGACCCCTTAGGAGGTTGTAACCACGCTGATTACCAGGGCTGCCAACATCACTGGGACTGCAGGATCTGCTGCTGAGATCCCCACATGGTGGCTGGCAACATAATTTCTCACTATGCAGGTTGCTCCATATGTGTGGCCAGGGTGGGGGTGGGTGGGGGGGTTCATGAAATGACAACTAATAAGGGCCTCCCCGGTGGCGCAGCGGTTGAGCGCTGGGTTGCGAAACTGCGCGCGGCCTCTGCGGCGCTGGTTCGATCCCCGGCTGCTCCCCGGCCACCGGAGGAGAGTCCCACATGGCGCGCAGGCCTCTCCTGCCGCCCGCTGCTCCCCTCAGCAGTGTACTTCGGTCCTTCTGCCTGCTCTGCTCCCCGCTCTGGCTCTGGTGAATTCTCTCACCCTCCCGTGCTTCTGACTGTACCCAGTGCATGTATAAACAAAAACAAACAAACAAACAAACCAGCAAACAAATAAATAAAGCATGCCTCTATTAAAAAAAAAAAAAAAAAAAAAAGAAATGACAACTAATAATCAGAGATCAAGGGAGACAATGATGGAAGTTATCTTTTTTTTTTTTTTTTACAATCTTGGCAATGACATCCCATCATGCCCACCATATTCTATTCCTTAGATATAAATTATTATGTTCATCACATACGGGAGGAAGGCAGGCCAAAATTATAAATTTAAAGGCTCCTATCACATCAAATTTATCTGAGTAGACAGTAAGAGCCTGATGTATGACCTGCCTATGGTGTATTGAGCTTCTTGAATGTGTGAGTCTGCACTTTTCATATCAAATTTGGATCTGATGAAAATTTCTCAACCATTATTTCTTCAAGTATTTTTATGAAGACACTCCCCCATTTATCT